CTCGTCTTATATATATATATATATATATATAGAGAGAGAGAGAGAGAGAGAGAGAGAGACAGAGAGAGAGAGAATGAATGAATGTATAAGGCCAGACCAAGGGAAGCATTGGACTCAATAGCAGTAAATACCTTATGACTGAGAAAAGAGAATGCAAGTCCATGAGATGGATTTGGGAGACAGAGTTAGGAGTAACTGTAAGACTTTTAGTGTAGACTCAGGCTTATCAATGATGGGGCATAAACTAGGTATTATTAGCATGTACAAAGAGGAAGGATGAAACTGGTGAATATGTCAGAAAGAAAGAAACAACATAGGAAGAAATGTCACAAACCAGTGGCCTAGTGTGAGGGCCTAGGCACTGGCAAATACTAGGATATTTGTTATGGCCAGATGGGGACCAATTTGGAGGCAGGGGAATGGGATCAGTCCCAATGCATTAAGTTCAAGGAGTTGAGGGGCATCTGACTGGAGCAGCCCCGGTGTCGTTTTGGTATCTGTAGCAAACTCACCTTGACCTGTCTGACTAAGGTGCAGGTTAGACCCTGTCGCTACCAGTTCGTAACTACTTCTTTAGCAGATCAGCCCACTGAGAAAGGCAGCAGCAAGAAATCAAAGATAAAACTTGGACAGTCAGTGTATTCACCAACAGAGAGAGGTAGATGTTTTAAAACATCACCGTGTCAACTAATAGAGTATTTCACAGTATGTTCAAGAGGGAGACACACACCAGAGCTCAAGGAAGATGACGACTAAGAGGCTTGGATGGTAAGGTCACTGGTCACATGCCAAAGTACAGCTTCAGTCGACTGTTGGGATGCAAACCAAACTGCCAGAGACCTGCCCCAGTGTAACTTTCTATCCCTACAGTGAGACAGTAAAATCTATTAAAATTCATTTTAATTCCCTCTTGGTGTTTCTTTATTTTCATTTTTGCTTTGTTCTCCTCTCTGTTTAACTCTCTGTAGGAATTTATCCTACTTTGCTACACAAAGCAGCCCATCTGCTGTCATTTTGAACCTGTGGGAAGCTCGTCATCAACACGATGGTGACCTTGACTCGCTGGCCTGTGCCCTTGAAGAGATTGGGAGGACACACACGAAACTGTCAAACCTGACGGAATCACAGCTCGAGGAAGCCGACTTCAACTACAGCAGGCAGAATGGACTCTAGTCCATGTCCTCTCACACGATGGGGTGACGCCAGCCGTGGGACTTTGCTTTAAATTGGAAGGAGAGAGGCAGCTGTCTGCCCAGTGGCATGTGGGGAATTCAGCCTTCATTTACAGTCAGGAGATTCCGTGTTTGGAGAAACTGAGTTTCATACGGTAAAACGTATTCATGGGGAAGTTTGCGTGCTCTGAGACAGAAGAGGGCTCTCTGGAGTCACACGGGGTAATGCTGGATGCACTCCTCTGATGTGCACTGACAGAAAGAGATGGAGGGAATCCTAGCAGAAGTAGCTGTGGGGAAAGATGAGCTATGATCAACTGGGAAGGCAGAGATTGACTCAGTGCATGTGTTGAAACAGGTTTTTAATGATGTACCCCAAAGGGCCAGTGATATTGGTACCAGATTGTCAGTTTTCTACCAACTGGCATCTCTGATGTCAAGAATAATCATAAAACTGGCTTTTAGAAGTGAAACAGGGCTGCCAACCTATTTGTATAATTTCAAAATATCCAAGAGGGCATTTAGGATTGGGGATCTGAGTATATCCCACCCGTACCAAGGCTCTGGCTGTCCTAGCCACGGATGGAGACTAGATTGAGAAGTAAGATAGACACAAACTAGTTCTTGCGGGGAACTCATCTTCATTTTTTTTTTCCAAAGACAAATTCACCCATATTCTGTCTTCTTCCTCCTCACCCATTGCAGTAGAGAGATTTCAAGGAGCATAGTTAGCCTTTTCCATAGGGAAGTTTATTTCTTCTAACTGAACCAAGGGGGACCATATTCCCACCTGAGATACCAGTTACAAACTGCTGCTGCAGCACATCTTGAAGCATGGGATTGGAGGCAGGAGGGTCACACCATGTCCAGGGGAGCCATGGACTGCAGATGGCACAGGCCTCATGAGAGCTGTCCTTCTATGAGACAGTGTAACATCACTGTTACAAGGGAACAAGGAGTTTTACTGAAATTTCAGTCCAGATTTTTGAGGCATTCTAACGTTTGGTACTATGTCATTACAAAATCTCTCATTAGGGCTATAGGTCATCCTTTTTATGCCTCTTGGAAATTCATCTTGGTTCTAAATGGTACCTGAGTAAATAGACCTGAGGAATACAAAGTCCCAGAAACACTTGCATGGTTCAGAAAGTCTTCAAGCTCAATCACTTGGCCCACTTAGAAAGCTTTCTCTATAGAACCATTAACATATGGTTATGGCTTTATGATTCTTCTTTTAAAGTAGGTGGCAGCAATAGTGTAAAATAATTGAAAACCACAGATAATTCACGACCCTCATCTTAACACTTTACTCCACCTTTTTATCTTGTGAAATCATTTTTGGCAAGATGTCCTGGTAGACTAAAGGTGAACAGACATGCTCCTGCTTGTTTTCTGGTAGTGATTCTCATTAGCGGTGCACAGTCAAGAGGACCAGAGTCAGAGGCCCAGATTAACCACAGGGCAGATCAGACTAGAGGTCAGTTCCACTAGGGTAAAATGAAAGTAGTCGGGGGATCAGGGAGGAGGAGAACACTTGCAAGTGGGAATATGACTAAATTTTTAAAATAATATTTTTGTTGATCCCTTATTTAGAGAGAGAGAGAGGTCATCCTTTTTATGCCTCTTGGAAATTCATCTTGGTTCTAAATGGTACCTGAGTAAATAGACCTGAGGAATACAAAGTCCCAGAAACACTTGCATGGTTCAGAAAGTCTTCAAGCTCAATCACTTGGCCCACTTAGAAAGCTTTCTCTATAGAACCATTAACATATGGTTATGGCTTTATGATTCTTCTTTTAAAGTAGGTGGCAGCAATAGTGTAAAATAATTGAAAACCACAGATAATTCACGACCCTCATCTTAACACTTTACTCCACCTTTTTATCTTGTGAAATCATTTTTGGCAAGATGTCCTGGTAGACTAAAGGTGAACAGACATGCTCCTGCTTGTTTTCTGGTAGTGATTCTCATTAGCGGTGCACAGTCAAGAGGACCAGAGTCAGAGGCCCAGATTAACCACAGGGCAGATCAGACTAGAGGTCAGTTCCACTAGGGTAAAATGAAAGTAGTCGGGGGATCAGGGAGGAGGAGAACACTTGCAAGTGGGAATATGACTAAATTTTTAAAATAATATTTTTGTTAGAGAGAGAGAGAGAGAGAGAGAGAGGGAGAGAGAGAGAATGAAAGGAAAGAAAAATGCTATCAGTCTCTTCCCAAGTGAAAAAGACCTAAATACAGGTGGAATTTATGACCATGGAGAAGACATTGAAGAATTCTCAAATATGTTGGCTGTTTTCTAATGGACGTGTGGTATATATGGTCCTCTGTGTTAGATAGAAGGCTTTGGTACATGGAATTTGAAAGCATCTTGATTTTCTCAGGAACCAAAGGCTTATTACACAGAATGAACTGTCGAACCAATTTTCAAAATACCACGTCTACTTCAGGAAAACAGCCCTTTGCTAGTGAGTTCACCTTGTTTATTGCTCCTAGGGCACATGAGGGCGACAGCCTGAACATCGCCTCCTCTGACATTTCTGATACGACTTCTGGAAGAGGAGGTGAAGATAAACGGTCAGTCCTCACAGTCACCTGCAGGGCTAACTGGCCGGGTTTTCGGCAGTCCCGACCTGCACTACCACCATAGAAAACATGTAATAGAGCTTTTCTGAGCTTCCGTCTTGGAAGACTTCTGTTTTAAGCCATCCGACCCTTTTTCCTCTTTCCACATAATTATCCTTCTCATTGTTTCATCTATTCTGTGAATCCACACAAGTCCTTTTTAGATTTCTTTGCTATATTTTAAAAATATTTTAAAACAGATAAAAAATTTAAATGACTTTCACGAGGCTCTATCTAGCATACTTTAAGAGGAGATGAGCGTATTATCAACTCCTGAATGTCTGGAATTTCTTCGCATGGATGTTTTTTGGGGCCTGGGTATTATGAATGCTCTTGATCAGCATGTCCCATTGCAAAACAAAGTAGGAAGTTAACATGATTTCAGCCCACGACTCCATCACACTCATCTTTGTCCACTTTGTGTCCTCTTTAAATTTCTCTTTCACTCATTTCTGATAGGATATTTCAAGGGATTTCGTGTATGGAAACCTGTGCTTGTTACATGTCAGGACTGAGGTATTTTACTGTAGAAATTCAAAGAGAACTCATATCCATGAGAATTTCAGATCCAGGTATAGAAGAGGGGGCCTTATATATTAGATAACAGTGTAGCTCACACTTGAGTTTGTGGTTATTTCTTGTGACCTTAACCTTTTCCCATTATGCTGTTTGCTGGTCACATCCCAAATGCCCCTGGTAAAAGAGATTTCTTGTCATTTCAAACACTTAGTTTGAAAAGAGAATCTCCCTAATACAAAAATTAAGTATGGTCTTTAATATTTGGTAGGTTATTTGAAATTTTTACAAACTATCCCTCTTCATGCCAAATCTTTCAGTCCTCAAAGGCATTTAAGTCTGATATTCATGCTTTAAACATGACTTAACTTTATGCCACCAGAATGCTGGCCTTCCTATTTTCACTAGACCACAGCATCCCAGAGATAACTTGCAGTTTTGATAGCAATGCTTCTGTCATCTTACTAGTTTACATTAAACTCCTCTAGGTGAAAAGGAGGCTTTCTCTATGGATTTGAGTGCAAAATTCATTTACCAGTACAGGAAGTCTCATAAAACTCAAATGTTACTCCCACAAAAAATTTCATTGGCCTTTTTGTAAGAGATGAAAAGGAATTGACACAGTCCTCTTTAAAGACGGGAACTTTTCTCTTCTTTATATTATTTTTCTCTCCAACTGCAGGTGTTATTATTTTTCTCTCCAACTGCAGGTGTTATCCTCTGCTATGGTCCCCATAGTTTTCTTTTACTCAGTTTGGAGAGGGGATATTAAGTCCAATCACTAACACAAGGTTCTCTCTGGATTGAAAGTTCTGGATTTACTGCAACTGTTTTCCTCGACATCAGGATTGATAACTAAATGTGGACTATTCAAATGGCATACTTGCTTTTAGATAGTATTCTTAGGCTTCTGGAATACTTACCCGTAAATTTCAAAATGTTATAAAAGCTTTCAATATGCTTTTGACGTTGTTTTCAACCATCCTCTATTCAGTTTCTCAGTCCTTCTGCCCTCTGTAATGTGTTGAGTGAAACAGCCATCAGACACGTTGACAGTGAAGTTCTCTCAGAGGTCCTTGTTCCAGCTCTGTGAGGGTCATGGGATCGTGAAGGAGCTGGGAAATGTGCCTCTCTGGCCCATATGACATGGCCCATTTTCATTACGTTTCCTCATGAAACACTGCAGAGTTGAATTAGTAACTCCCACTGAATGGACTAGAGGTGACAGCCACAGCAAGTGGGAGAGCATAATGTTGGCCTACAGGTAGTGACAGAATTTTCTTAGCCCTTTGGTGTTGCCATAGCGCTGTATTTGAAAAATCAATGCTTTAGCCAAAAACTGAATGGCCACCGTTTCTGTAGTTTCCACTGTTTTGTCTGCATAGAATTTTCCTAAACTACAAGCAAAAATGTATTTTGTCAGATGTCACAAAAGTGAAAATGTTACTGATCTTAGATGTGTTGCATATTTTGTGTTTTTACTTTCCAAACTCTTTCAAAAGCTGCAGTTACAAAGCTGTTTGGCTGTATTGACAGCATGTGGTGTTTTTGCAAAAGCAACTCTAGGAGAGCCAGCGTCTACTGTGGACTCTTCACATCTCCCCTCCAGAATCATCAGCAGAATTGAGATGGCATTTCATGTGGTGTGATTTCTCAAACATAAAGGGGGATGGAAATCAGACCTGGCTGTTAGTCACTAGTGTGTAGTCCTGTGATCTGAAGTAGGAAATTTAACTCACATAGAATAATTGTGGTTTTTGAAGCAGCTACTCATTGCTTTTTCTTTTTGCTGTGAAGATCATGGGTTTGGAGTGTCCTCATAAGGTGGGCTTAAGACAGTTACCATTAAACTTCATGTCTTAGAACCCACCCTCCATTGGAACCCAAAAACAAAAGTGGCAGTAAGCTTAACATTTTCCTTCCCTACCTCTAATACTGAGTTCA